TGGTTGCTCTAATTTAGGCCTGGTAAGGTGTTTGCTTACTCGTTGCTCAAAAAAATAAAAGGTGTTTGCTTACTCATTAGGCCACTCATCCCTTGCTCTGTTTTAGATTTGTTCGGTGTTAGTTTGGGCACATTTAAGTAAATTGCAAAATATTTCTAACATTAAACAAATGTACTATAAAAATATATTCAATGATGAAATTAATGGAACTGTTTTGATATTGTAAATGTTATTACTTTTTTATAGACTTAGTCAAATTCAAAGAACTGCACTTAGGATAAAACCAAAACCCTTTATATTTCGAAATTGAGGGAGTGCAAGTTTGTAATAAACACATTAAAAACATCGGAATCAGATGGAGAACTTGAAGATGGGGAATATTTATTCTTTGAGTGTCGTTATGTCCATTTTCTGTGGCAAGCAAGTAGTTTACATTTGTTCCATAGTTGGTCTAAAATGGGAGGCAACAAACATAATTACCTATATTGGCTGGTGGTGCTTCTCTTTGTTGGGCAATTTGACGACAAGGAACAAAATCATTTTTGACAATGGTCACCTAGAAACATTTTTGTGGGTTGTCTTTAGGGGGATACACTAGCTTCGGCTCTAGGCTCAATTACATCGCTCGAATGATTGCAAAGATCAGATTCGCGAGGCGTGCAAATTACTTGAAATAAATGTCATATAGTTTTTTTTGGATATAATGAATGGTCTTTTGTGTACCCTCTTAGTCTCTAGTTTAGAACTTGTAATAAGTTTAAACATTGGGTGTGTATGGACTATTTTCCATTATATAAAAAGGTAGAATCCCTGTCAACTAAGGGGCGAATTGGGATCCATTCAATAAGGTCCTGTTTGGCAGAGCTCCCAAAGCTGATTGTCTGTTGAATCCAGCAGGAGCTCTATCAAACAGTTTTTCGGAGAGAAGTGGTTTTATGCTGATTCCGTGAAGTGGTTCTCTGAAATGAACTAAAATGCTGAGAGCTAAAAAAAAATAGCTTCTCCTGATTTTTGAAAGTGATTCTCCATCACGACTTTTAAGAGTTTATGCTAAATAATCTAAGAAAATCACTTTTAGCCATAGAATCACTTCTCTCACAAAATCAGATTTCATATAGAATCAGAATTAGATTGGGCTTTACCTACTAAAACTCCGTAAGGATTTGAGCAAATTCTTCTCGTATAATAAAGTTGATCCTTATTGGTAGATTCTCCGGTGATGGCGATGCTACCGTTCACGGCGCACACCATCGTTGTCAGGGGCCAAGCGTTGTAGAACCTGCCTGCCTCGTGCCAGTAGTACTAGTACCCTTTACACTGCCGGAACGTACGTGCGCCCCAGGGCGCCGGCCGGGCCATACGCACGGTGTACACTGGTGGGCGGTGGCAGCCCGGGTGAGGTGGGGACCGGGCGCGAGCGGTGCCGGTGCGCCATGCATGGCACGCGAGCGGCTGAGCGAGCACGCAGTAGGGTGTAGGGAGGGAGCCCTACGGCTGCCTCTGCAACTGCAAGCGTCTCCATCGACCGACGCCCGGCGCGTACGGCACCGCGCCTGCTCCGGTGTCCGGGCTGCCACGCCCACGCCATCGGGGCGCCCCTTCCCATGCGCGGCGGCCCGGCCCGGCCCGGCCGGCCGGCGCGCCGCGCCCGCGCGCATTATTAGCGGTGCACGCCCGGGCCATCAGCTTGCTGCGGGTGCGTACGTGCGTGGCAGCTCAGCCACTTGGAGAGAATCTCCAACGTACGTCCTGCGCCTGCTGCCTGGTCGCCGGCCGGCCGGCCGGACTGCTGGCCCGATCCATCTCGTCGGGTCGACGCCGTCACCAATGCATGCAAGGCAAAAGCTGCACCTGGTATCGGGCTCCTCGTGCTTATGCAGGGGCCGTCTCAATCGCATTATGTTACGTGCATTGCTCGCCAACTTGTTGATCACTGTACTAGCTTATTAGTGCTAGTACGCACCACATGACGGGAGGACGGAATTAGGAACCACTACGCCATGCTCCCGGCGAGAACATGCACGAGGTGGTGTGCTTTTGATTCGACTGTCTAGTTACCCGTGACGCGGTCCACATGGCACCATCCTTGCACTGCCCGGCAGCTCTGCTTCGACGCAGGGAGGCACCGGCGCGTGAGCGCGCTGGGTTTTGACGTTTATTTTGCACCGCTCTGCAGACTGCCGACCATTGGATTTCGATACACCCAGCGAGCTGGGCCTTTCTCTGCACATGCACATCACAGATAATTTGCACCTCCTGCTCCTGCTTGGCCAGGCAATGGCGTGTAATTAAGCAGGTTTGATTGGCGACTGCTGGCCGGTTAAAGCTGCTCAAGCACAAGGATCGTGTACTACAATATGTATGGTTACTGTTTGGACAAGTACGTACGTCGAAGAAACGTTACTGTATTCGATCGATCATGTACTACAATATGATAGGACTACATTCTTTTTTTTTGTCGGCAGATATGGTCGAGAATCAGGATCCATGCATGTTAATTACTGTACGTTCTATAATTTGGGAACGAAGTACCGTAAGCAAGTACATAAAGGTGTGAGATAAAAAAAAAAGTACATAAAGGTGCACATATACCGAAAGTTGAAGCCTTCTAATGTAAAAATGGCTAGAGTAACTGCTTGGAGCTTAGGGCGTGCCCAACGCTACACGCTGACTAGTAGCCATAGCGTCCATCTCAGCATCCAGTGTCCAAATCCCCAGCGTGTCAGGTAGCTTGCAGGAGCAGCGGAGGCCTCGTCTGACAGTGCAGAAGCACTCGATGCTGTGTGCGTTCTGGACTTGTGGCAAAGAAAGAACTCAGTGACACATCTTCCTAGGTAAAGCAAAAGCTACTTCCTAACTGCAGGTACAGAAAGAGGATGTTAGCTTGCGATGAGATGAGTTTTCAAAGCACCATGAGCGCGTTCGGCTGGTGCATTGAATAGTACATTTTGGATGGTTCTGAATGATTCAATAGTGTTCTGTGAGGAGAATAAGCTGAAACAAGCTGAAACAATCAGTGACATATCTTTTGTCATTTATAATGACTCTCATAGTGTGAAAATGTTATAACAGTGTTACACATTTCATCGGTTGATGTTAAGTAGAGACGAGTTCCATACCTGATCCCATGTCCAATGAGACTCAACATTTACTGACTCGAGCAGGGACTTGAACGCATTTTTTGCTTCCAACAAATCAAAAATATAAATGAGGTTGCCAAATCATGAGCAAACATCCAATTTATAATTTGCTTCTTTCAAGCCATCTCACCATCATCATAGTGGCGTAGACTGCAGGTTCTTCTTCACTTGTTTTCTCCTCCAGTGGAGTGACATTAATCTTCCCTGCAACTGGCATGGTCTTTTTGGCCTCCTATAGAGTAGCATGTTGAAGCGGCGTCAACATTCAGTTACAGAGAGGGAAAACTAAGCAGTTAAGTCCACTAGCCACTATTAAAAGAGATAATATAAGTGCGAAAATATGGTTTCATCCACAGAAAAAGGACTGTCCAGTTAAAATCGTTCTAATTTCCATCAAAGTAGAAACTATATAGCTGAGACTATAGATGTCCCCTCCCCCTCTCTTTCAAGTATCCATGATTTTTCTTTTTGAAATAAAAAGATGGAGAGAATATCTAACTTCAGTAAGATACCTAGTTACCAGTAATTTCTGCCAAGAAAAGGAAGCTGAAGTAACTTCTTAGGTAGTTCCTTCCATATACTGAGTAACGGTACTTCACACTATAGCGTCTCTAGTACCCTCTAAACACTCGTAATTCGCTTTCTTCGCTTGAACTTATCAACCGGCTTATCCGCTAGAATCTACAGTATTTTTCTCTCACAACAAAACAGCTTCAGCCGGCTTTAATACCAGCCGAACAAGACCTAAATGCCAACTAAGAAGAAACATGAATGAGTACCAAAAAAGATGCAACTGGACTGTATCCGTAAGAAATCTACTAAACCCTGGTGTCCAAAAAACATCTATATTAAGTTTATCAGTGTTGCACATCTCTAGTCACGGTTCACAAGGTAATAGAAAAGGACTGGGGCAAGGGGCACAAGTTCAGTCATCAGTCATCATGAGACATCGATTTATCAAGAAGTTCAGTTCCACGATGAATCTAGTTTTATCAGAAATCCTGACTAAGCTATGACCGAGTACACAATTTATTAGGATTACGTAGGTTGTGTCTTGCTCCTATCGACAAAAAGGGCCATGGCAATGCATTTGTTTCAGGGAAGAAAAAAAATCTAGTAACACATACCTATCTCTGATGGACCTCCCATGTTACATATAATTCTTCTCCTAACAAGAACCACTACAATCTGTTCAGCTCTATTCCATTGTTACAAATATCTTTGTCATTGCCAAAACTTCACTGACCATATCCAAGCATCCAAAATCCAGATAAGTGTTCCACAATAATTGTAGATCACAATGTCAGAAGGGGGGAAATATACATTATGTGCCAAGTACAGTGTTTTAAATCGCGGGCTATAGCATTTAGCAGAGAGGTTTGCTCAGCCGCTATAGCGCCACTATTTACTGCTACAGGGCCGCAATAGCCCGCTATTTAGTACATCAGTTTTGTAGCGGCAAATGGCTAAACCGCTATAGTCTGCTATTTAAAACACTGGCCGAGTGTGTCTAGTTGCTCCATTTTTCATAAAATAGATTTTTACAATTAATGGTAGCAAAATACTATCATCCATCAAAGGAAAACAAATGCAATGCTAAAAGGCATGTAAAAACAGGCTCCACAAGGATGTTGACAAGGATATTCACATACAAATTGAAATGGTGCAAAAACTGCAAAGTTTATAACAAAAAGGCAACCAGAGACAAATTGTTAAAATGTGGGGTCACTGACTTGGACAAGATTTAGCAAAGGAGTATAAATACATCAACTATGAAGCACTTGCAAATCTTATGAAACAAAACAACAAGCGTAAAGCAAACATACCTCCAAATCTTCAGCAGATGTACCATCCTCTGTGTCAGCCTGTGGTCAGAGATGGATTTTCATTGTTGTTTCTGCAATGTTCAACAAATAAGCATATTAGCAGGCAATTGAACGTCAGGTAGAATATACTACAGGATGAAAAAAGGTAAACATGTGCGAAAACCTGCTGGCCCCTGCATCTGTTGCAACTAATGGAACTTCTGTGCTTGTTGCAACAGGAACAACAGCAGTACTTGGACCACAATTTTGCATGTCAACAATTGAACTGGAAGTGTTCTCCACATTGTGCGACGGGGCAGCACCAGGAGGAACAGAGTTTGATGACCCATCATGTGAGCTGGGAGCAATTATACCAACAGCAGATGACGACTGATTAGCAGGTATAGTAGAAGGTTCAGAGGCAGCAGATCCGACAAGAGCACTAGCAGCTATTCCTGATTCTCGCTCAGGTTGTTGATTTGATGCCTTCTCTGCCAATTCACGTGCAACCTGAGAGAGAAAATAATTGCAGCAATAATGTAATTTTCGATTAAAGAAATATAGATGGAGAAAAGAAGAGCAAGAAGAAAACCTTTAACTCATCAGGAATAGTCCATTTTGATTGCTTGGTCACTTTGTTGAAATAGCACCTTCAATTATAGAACAGTCAAAATATGGAAAGAAAATGGAGGATTCATTACCGTATTGACATATAAATAAAAATATCTCAATTGGCACTTAATTCCAATATAAACTTACTTTCGTCCTTCAGGTGTAGTAAATTCTTTCCATTCGGTTGAGGCATCAGCCCTCTGTTAAATTAACAAAACCCATTGAAATGCAAATTAATACAGCAAGGACACATTAAGTACATTACTTATATTAGAGAATGAACTTCCCTCAAATCAAGCAAAAAGAAACAAGAATGATTTCTTGGTCCTTTGCAAGTGCTGCTTAACCGAATTTAAAGAATCAATCTAAATACATAGAAAGCACAAAATAACGCAAAAAGGCCAAAGAGTGTGCATGAATTTGTGCACAAAAGCACATTGGGAATTGAACTTTTTAGTGAAAGATGATATCAGGCACAAGCATAGGGCTACCTAAACAGATCAAAATCATATGGCTAAGCTGCATGACTATAAGCAAACAGCACACTAACCTCCAAAGGTGTCATCAACTCAACTGGTTTCTCCCAACTTGATTGCCTTGTCTTCTTATTGTAGTAGTACCTAGAAAATGAAAGGGAAAAATTAAAGGGCGTACCCAGTGCAGAGAGCTCCCACTCTGTGCGGGGTCTGGGGAAGAGTGTCAGTGGCAAGCCTTACCCTCGTCTGTGCAATGCGAGGAGACCGCGACTCGAACCCGGGACCTTCCGGTCACAGACGGGAAGACTCTACCGCTTGCACCAGGCCCGCCCTTCAAAGGGAAAAATTAAAGCAAACCAAATAAAGAGAAAATCAAAACATGAAATACTTAAATTACAAGAGCTTATAATGAAGTTAATAATGGAAAGAAATTAAAAAAAATACTAACTTTTTCCCCTCGGCTGCAGTGTGCTCCTGCCAGTCTGAAGAGCTAGGTTCAGACAAGTTGACCTTGTCATTTACAAACTCAGTTATTCCAAAGTCAACGATATAAAATATTGAATAGTAGACAAAAACAATTGATGCATCAGAGGTTACAAAATTAGACAAAAATCAGGTGATGAAGCATAGGTCTGGCAATACTTACTGAAGGCAAAGTTGTTGGAGCTGATACCGGCTGGTGCCTAGACTGCACTACAGGAGGCACATGAGGTACATTCTTTCCTGCGCGTGGCCCAAACATAATTTCAAGGAACTCTAGATTTTCTGGTGGGCGATCTTTCAGGTTTCTGTATGTAGGAGTGCTTTTACGTTTCTGTAAAATAAATAAAATTATTCTTATTTATATTAAACAAATATTAGATGTTTTTTCTAAAGATTTAAAAGAAAAAGAAAACCTTTAGTATTTTGTCCCACCACTTATTGTCCCTGTTAGCAACTGGTACTGCCTCCACTTTCTCTTTCCAGAAAGTGTAAAGTCTTTTTGCAGAAAGTATCTTCTCTCTTACATTCTTTTCATCAGACGTTAGTCCTTTACCGTGGAGTTTCTGTGCTATCACCTTATATGATAGTTTTTCCAAAGATTTCATTTCCTCAAGACAACACTCATACAACAGTTTTGTATTATATTTACTCCATTTGATTGTCTTTTTACGATATGCTCTGTGACATTCAAATCAAATAATCAAATAATAAAAAAAAACTTATATAACAGTGTAATAGAGCTTCAATTAAATAGAAAAAAGAAGAGCAGCAGATTATGTCTTACAGAGGTGACGGGAAGCAGTTGGCTTGTCTGCAGTACCTAGACAGCCGAACCGATGTCCTCCTGATCTTGACAGGACTGATAGTCGTCTTCTTCATAACATTTTCATGTGGTTCTATCAAAGAATCCTGCAAATGCCAACAAGTTAAAAGAAATTCGACGAAGTTCGAATAAGAACATTCAGCAACTCACTTATTAGCAATTTTACCTCTTCTATATGTTTAGAATTGTAAGTACCCATCCATCAGGTCTAACATTAGGTATTTCACAGTTTTTCTTTCAGCAATATATATATAAGCAACGTGGTAGTATTTATCATCAATTAACCATAACACTTATTAGCGCCTATAAATAAATATCAAACCCTATTTCCTCTCATTTCAGTGTAAAATTTATTTATTTGTTATTCACGTTCAAATGACGGAGGCACCACACTGTCGTTTGTGGTGGTCAATGTAAGTTTGAATAATTACTACTTATGTTCGCATAGTGTATTTTGGAAACTTGGCTTGTGGATTTTCAGAATGCTTGTGCGTCTTTCTACTTATTTTTGTTACTGAGGACATACAGATGCTGATGCTACTCCTAATCTTCATGATCGGTGATTACAGATGGCTATGATGCTACTAAAATCAGCATGTTTTATTATTAATCTAGAGATTTGAATTTACAAAATTCACCACACTACTGGTGCGAACGAAAGTTTGACAGTAGTCTAGAAAAAGAAAAAACGACATTAGGCAAAACTCAAAATTACTACTACATAATAAGGCTGCAGACATCTAAAATCACTTACTACTGCTGCGAATATCAAATAAAGACCAAATGAGTAGTACTACTTCACCGGTCCTATATATATACAATGGGGGATAGGCGGATAGCTGCCCCATAGGGGTGACGGCTACCCATACCTCAGATCAGCGACAAGTGGCGCCATGGACTGTTGGATTGGTAGTCCTCTTTTGGCAAACGAAGTACAAGAATGAAGCGCGTTTGGCCTTTTGTGGCTGGTCGTTTGCACCATATAATTAATCATTAGTCATATGAATAGTGTTTAGATATTTTCACCTACCCGAGATGCAGCAGGTTATTGCGGTTGTGGCTTTCATTGGCAAGGGTGAATTAAAAATTGAGAAACATGTGGGGCCCACCTGCCACTTATTTTTTAGTACAAAAATATAATTTGTGTTTTATTTTGTAGATAAAATCAAAATGCAAATTAGTTGCGCCCGAACGAATAAAGATTGAACACTTCATCGATAACCATGGATTAGAATAAGATGCAGACCAGGGCGTGCCGGAAGTGAGCAATGGCTAAAGTGGACAGTGACTGAGGGACATGTGGGCCCTACGTGTCACTTTTTTTATAGAAATTTATAGTTAATTTGGGTCTTATTTTGTAGATAAAATTAATACAAATAATATGATGCAAACAAAATGCAAATTAGTTTGTGGTTTAGGAAATAATATCGTCTAAAGCTTATTATCAATCAAACATCTACTCCGTAGTCTTCTCACATGCATTGAACGGGAGAAACACAGCTGGCTTGTTGGTGTGGTCCCCTGGCAAGAGAGAGAAGAGAGAGAGAGGTGAGAGGGGACGAGTACTAGAAAAGTCTTTCCCTTTTGTCACGACGCAGCAGAAGGCAACGAGCTTTTCATGAAGCTCACGCAGGTCTGCTCCATGGTGGGCTCTCTACGTGGGCATCCAGGCCCGCCTGTCAGTGAGCAAAGGAAACACACATGAAGTAGAGCATGCGCCGTGTGGTCTCCAAAATTTACTGTGGCGCGGGCAGAGAGGACGAGCGGTGGTCTACTGCTTGGAGAAGGACGTCAGCTTTTTCAAAACAGGAGAGAGTGAGCAACCTGCCAACCTGCCAACCTGAACATGAAAGTTTAGTGATAATCCTGCATGGGTGAGTTGTTGGATGTGACAGTTTTTTTTCTTCGGAACTTTGAAACGTGAATGGTGATTAGTTGGAGAATGTGCTAGCCATTACTACTGATAAGCAGACCACAAATAGACAGAAATCCACATGATAATTCCTACACGAGATGCAGCAGGTTATTGCAGTTTTAAATTAGAGGTAGCACCATTTTTCAAGGCCCAAAAACATCAGAGGAATTGGCACCAAATGTCGGCAATTGATATCAAATATTAAAAGCAGCCCGTTTGTTAATCAAAGATTATTAAGAAGTATCATGGAAAAACTAAAAGCACATGCTGAAAGTGACGTGAGAAGGGTAGAGAGAGAGTAGAGAGGGGAATTTCAATGTGCACAAAAGCTGGGCCTCACCTTTTTGTCAGGACGCAGCAACATGCACGCGTGGTTTGTGGGCAGCGCATTGTGGGGCGCCCCAATCCTAGTGGGGCCTGCCCACCAGTGAGGAAAATAGGACAGCACGTCTGCTGCACCAGTCGGACCGCTCAGCCAGTGTCTCGTCGGATCTGGGGGGTGGCTAGATATCACTCGTGGCAGGCGCTGGAAAATACGAGGCCCAGTTCGAAACAAGTGGAGGCCTAACATCTATTGCCAAAACAAAACAAAAAATGGTAGTGCCCTGCCCAACTGTATCGTTATTGGGAGAAGAAATTAAGCTTGTGGTTCTCTAATAATAAACCTCTCCATAGACCCTTTCTGAGATCTAGTTAATTCCTCGATTCTTTGCTTTTTCTTACGCTTTTGATTTCCCAATTCATATTTTCTAATCCGTTTTGAAGAAATTTGAAGAAGACATGGCTTGCAAGTTGGAACAATATAATTACACTAGATCAATTTGTGTACAAAGACAATGCACAAAAGATTAACTAAATAAAATAGGGGCTGGGCATGGAATTTATACCAGGCGATGATCTCTGTTTGGCGTCTCCGATCTGGGTCCGGCCATCTGGGATTGCGACTAGGTCTCAACTCTCGAGCGACCAACAACGGCGAGGGCGAGGAACAAGTCCAAGCGACGAAGCCACGAACTCACGAAGGGTTAGGAACTTACGTGAAGAAGAATAGCCAGCCACAGACTTTTCCGACTCACGATCGTGGACTCAATGTGTGGTGCTTTTCTCCGGAAGGAGTAGGAGGCCACGTTTATTGGGCCTGTGGCTAATTTATTAATTAAAACAAGCCCACAATTATTATATATACTTAGGATACTTTGTAAATTTTAGGGCCCATGAATTTTGGGGGCCCAGTTCGGTCGCACTGCCCACATGGGCCTGAGGACGCCCTTGCTCGTGGGTGGTAGAATACACCGTTTGTAGCAAAATATATATATATATATATATATATATATATATATATATATATATATATATATATATATATATATATATATATATATATATATAAGCAAGCATCTTACTTGCAATTATATATGTTGAAAGCGTAACAGAATGTTTCACTTGCCTTCTTAAGGAAATCTTCCTGCTTATCTTCCATGGTGCAATCATGCCACAGGTTGACGACAGCATCGGCTCCACCAGTAGCAACCATTTCGGTTTTCATGCCAACAGCCAATGCCCAGACCTATGGAACAAATAATAGTGAGTTTGAGTCCCCTCCAGCAATGAGACAGAAAAGGAACTCTTCCCTCATGCATGGCAATGATGTCATACCTTCCCATCATGCTTATCATAAGTAGCAATGCATTCATTTGTCTCGATTGTCCATAGCTTCACTAGACCAACACTTCCTACATTTAGGAGCATCAGAAGAACAGAATCAATTTGAAAGGATGGAATATACCCAAAGACTTAGCCTTAGATAGGAGTGCTTGGAAAACAATTATTCACGTGCACTCGAACCTTGATGGCTTCTGCTGGGTTTCAACTCTAGCCTACCCCAACTTGTTTGGGACTTAAAGGCTTTGTTGTTGTTGTTGTTGTAGAAGAACAGAATCAACAAGACTCCCTAAAGGCTCAAGATAATAACTTGGACGAACAGCTTATTTTCTATTACCACAAGAAACAACTTGAGTTCCACGTGAAAGGAAAGAAGCTCGCAGAACACTTGATGTATGACCCTCAAATGTCTTCAAGCATGAGCCACCAGCAATGGACCATATTTTGATTGTTCTATCACCAGAGGATGTCGTGACACATGGTTCAACAGGAGAAAACTCAACTGACCAGATTCCTCTTTTGTGCCCCTTAAGGACAACAGAGGACACTAGGTTAGGGAGTTTCCATATGCAAGCAGTTCGGTCCTACAAAACAAATTTTGATAATATATAATGAAAATCACATGATGTAAGCCAGATAAAAGCACATCTAAAAGAACTACACCCTCCTTTCCAAATTATTGGTCACTTTAGCTCTGTCCTAAGCCAAATTTATAAATTCTGACCAAGTTTTTAGAAGAAAAAAAATATATATATATATATATAATTAAGACATTTCTGGTGGATTTAATGAAACAAATTTAATGTTGTAGATATGATGAATTTTTCAATAACCATGCTCAAAATTAGAGAAGTTTGACTTAGGACAAAACCAAAGTGACCTATAATTTGGAATAGATGAAGTATCATGCTACAATCTTACCTCAGAACCACTGCAAACAAGACCATCATTAGGTGAAATTGCCAGAGAATTAATATCTTTATCATGTGCAGCTACAACAGCCTTTGCTTTAAGAGGGACTTCATCCTCAGCATCACCAAGGGCATCGTCCCAGGTCCATACCTTGATGGTTTGATCGCTAACAAAAAGATAATCTTAATAACAATTTTGGTGTCACTTCAGACAAACAAAGATCACAGAAACTGAAGAGCAAACCTGCTGCCACTAACAAAATAGTTCTTTGTTTTCTTTGAGAAGGCAACAGAACCAACAGCTCCCAGATGGCCTTTGCCAATGCCAATACAGTTTTTTCTTTCAGCATCCCATAACCTCACCTGTGTACAAAAGATCACACTCAAAAATAGGAAAAGCAGCACAAGAATGCACTCAACAGCAGTGAGGATTATCAAAAGAAACCACAAACAAAAACGTTAGGGTAAGTCAACATAGTTTTCAGGTCCAGACATCACAACTTACAGTATTATCCTTGCTCCCAGCTACAACAACTGTCTTCCCAGAAGCAGAGACACAGGTGTCAATGCAAACAACTATTTCGGTGTGGCCAGCAAGTACATAAGAACATGACATCGACGCCACATCATAAACACGGACCTGAATATGTAGGTAACGGTTTCACAAGTTTCAAGTGCATTAGCCAACAAGAACTGTGCAGACATCATTTACGAATAGCTCACCTGCTCCAAGTTGGTAGCTACAGCAAGATATTGTTCCTCCTCCCCGACAAACTTCAAGTCAAGAATCTCATCATTATAACCTATTAGTCGTCTATATAGGGACAGTTCAAAGGTCGGTCCCATCATCAGTTCTTTTGCGACAATAGAACAAAAACTGCTGATCAGCAGTAACACATAGCAATCCTTGATCATTTGGCAACATAACAGCAGATGTAAAGCCCCTTCTTGTTTCCTCGTTCTCTGAGTTAACAGTTACATCAGATGTTTGCTGCTCGAATACGCAAAGACAACTGTAGAAGACCAGAAAAGCCATTGATTGCATAAAAAAGGGCAGACCCAGTGCCGGAGGCTTCCACATGAGTGGGGTCTGGGGAAGGGATAAACCGAGACAAGCCTTTCCCCCGCAAAATCTGCGGAGAGGCTGCTTCGAACCCACAACCTGGTGACTCAGTGAGACAGCTCTCACCACTGCACCAGGCCCCATTGATTGCATGTACTACAGAAATATGCAAAGAACAAAGAAGGATATAAATGCAAACTAATGTACCTCTCCAAGCACCAAATACGCACGACCCCACGTTCACCAACTGTGAGAAAATAACCAGACACTTTCTCCTTTATATTTGCCACTTCTATGCCCAAACAAGCCAAGAACTCACTTCCTGATCCAATGAAGGAAACAGCTTCTATCATTTCATATGTCGGTATTGTCTTCTTTGAGCTGTACTTACGAATATCCCACGCGGTAACAATCTGCAGATGTTCCATATATTCAGAATTACCAGTAACTCCACACAGAAAATGCACACCACAGTAAACTCCTATGTTAGAAATATCAAAATTCAAGCAAAACAGGTACTCCTATGACCACCACTTTTTGAGCACAAAGGTCCACATACAAAATGGGACGAAAAGTTTCAACCTCTGACACTTCCAGTAAATTTTGACTGTTTTGAGCCCCGTAACTTACTCTATATAGTTCTGAAGAGCTCATGGAGCCCTAAGAATATACTACCTCCGGTCACAAAAACATGTCGTTTAAGACAAAATTTGGTCAAACCTTAAAAACTAAAGACATCAATAACAATTACATTATTCAGTTTGGAAACATGCAAGTTATATGTGTAGATTTGTAATCAAAATATCTGCAAAATCTTTTAATTTGAAGGATTTTAAGAATATATTCTAGAAAAAAATGGCTGGACAAAGATAGACATCAAAGACTGCAAAGTCAAATTTGTCAAGCATTTTTGACCATAGGGATTATGGATATATTTCAGTACAAGAGAGGTATAAATGTTTCACTTTAAAACATATGTAATGATAGCAGAATGAAAGCTCAAGAATACATAACAGACATGAGACCACTCATACCTTATCCCTCCCAGCGCTCAGCAAAGTTTGTCCATCATCAGACAATGTCAATGAACTGACTGCTGAAAAATGCTCTTTAAGCACAGCAACACATTTTTTAGTTTCAAGGCTCCACACTCGCACAGTGCCATCCTCACTTCCTGAAAACAACTGGAGATCCAGCACACAAAGATTATCTTGGGCTCACCAAAAGGAAGTGGAATACACTGCATACATGGAGGGAGGGGGGACCAGTAGAGCTCAGTAAAAGTAATACATTGATTTGAACTAACAAGCTCCCAGAGCCATTTTCAGCGATCCAGTTCAATAAAAGCACAATTCCTTATCTTCAAAAATATGTCCTCACCAGAAGACTTTTTGGATCTTTGTGGAACATAATGGTTGTCACAACGCCTGTATGGCCTCTAAGGAAATGGGTGCAAAATCCACCATCCACATCCCATACGCAGACCTTCTTGTCTGCTCCGGCAGTTGCAAGCAAACCACCAGAAGCATGGCATGCCATGGCCATGATAGGACCATCATGTCCCTGTACAGCATAAGTTAAATACATTAGTTTACCTCAAATGGCAGTAAACTAGCATCGTATTAACATAATGGCATCAGCAAATTTTAATTGTATAAAAGATGTTGGCCTGTAGTGGTAAATCAGCCATACAGTCTCTAAGTTAACTAATTAATTAACACAACAATTAGTATGGCAGGATTAAGATCAAACAATGAAAAATTGAAAAGCTGTGCACATGCCCTGTAAGAAATTGGTATGTCTGATTATAACATCACGTTGGTTAGTGGAAATAATAAAGGTATCCTTTATCTTTGCACAATTAACCAGAAAAGATATGAAGGTAAAACTAAGACATTAATTACAACATCCACATTTAATTTAACTTCGCACAAATCACAATTTATGAAAAGCAGTACATGAGGTCCGGTATTCTAGAAGTGTGCGATAAAATATTTTTTGTAAGGAAACTAGTAGAGTCTCATAGATTAATAGCAAAGCTCTTGAGAAGCTTCTAAAACTTCAATCCATTTAATTTCCCACTGTTACTATACCAATGAGGCAATGACCCCTATCCCTAGTTCCCTACCCAACACACTGTAACCAAGATATCAAACGAATAATGTTCCAGGATGAGGAGCTGGATAGCTTAGAATATGTGCATTTGACAGTTCTGACATTCACACAAGGATACAAGCTTCCTAAAATTGCTTGTTATGCCGTGCACTACATTCAAACTGTCGAAACTACTTCCAGAACTCCGAGATTTTTGTTATGCCGTGAATAAGCTCCGGAATACTTTATAGCTAGATACAGGGTCATCATCTAGCAGCATTCACATAAAATTGCTTTCCTGTGGTCGAATTCACTAATCCGTGCACAGCAATGTGGATACCAGGGAGCACCACGAAACACACGACAGCTCAATACTCACCTTCCAGCTGCGTATGCATGTTCGGGATGCGAGGTCCCAGACTCTAATAAGCCTGCTGTGGCCCGCGGCGAAGATGAGCCGTGAGTCGGGGGACAGCGCCAGCGCGGTGATGGCCTCCGAGTCGCCGTCGATGGGCTCCCCTATGGCGGAGGCGTCCGCCGCGGACACCACGCGCACCTCCCCACCGCATGCGCACGGAGGAAGGCCTCAGCCTCGGCGCCGCCCTCGCCATCACCGCCGGGGGCGAGCCCGACGGCAAAGGGCCCGCCAGTGTAGAACTGCTGCAGGGAGCGGTCGCAGCGGTAGTTCTTCTTAAGAGCATGCGTCGAAGCCATGGCAGGTTCTGGCGGCCGCGGCAACGGCGGGGGGTCGTCGGAGCTAGGGTTTTGCGGCGGGGGCGGCGGCGCGGGAGGAGATGGAGGGAGAGGAGGAGGGTTTAAGGCAACTCCAACCTAATCCTTAAATTTTAAACGAGAGTTCCTCGTCCATATTCGAGCTCTTCCTTTTCAGCACCCAACGAGAGTTCCTCGTCCATATTCGAGCTCTTACTTTTCAGCACCCTCCGATCGATTCCCTAAAACTTTCATACTTGTAGAGAGGATAAGAGACTCCTGTATAGTTTAGGAGAGAGAAATGAAAGTGCCTCGTCCATCAGTTGGAGCTACGTTTTTAAGTCTCGAGCACTTAAAAGAAAGATACGAGTCCAGACGAGAGCTTTGGTTAGAGCTGCCCTAAGAGCAACTCCAGCCCACCTCCTAAACATGTCCCTATTCCAAATTTAGGGACTTAATCCAAAAAAATCCACTCCAATGCAGCTCCTACTTGGGCTCCCATTTTAGGAGAGCTGTCAAAATCTAGTTTCGTGCCCCGTAAAATGTGCCTCCTATTCCTCCCCGAATCGTCTTCCCCACTCGCTTTCTCGTCTTCCTCGCCGCCGCTCATGAGCGCCGTCTTGCTTCCCCGACGCGAGCCGCGAGCCCTCCTCCCTCCCCGGACTCTACCTCGGCCTTGCGACATCGCGCCCCGTCCACCCACCTCAGGAGCACTGCAGCGCCTGCGTGAGCTGTCGTCGGGTCTGCAGCCACGCCGCGCGTCATGCGCTGGCATCGCGGGGGCTTGTGGCGGCGCTGAGCCGCAAAATGGCGGCGCCAGGTTTCTCTCGGGCCTTAGCTGCCTCCCGCCCATTCTTTGCCGCCACGAAACGTCGTTCCTTCGTCGCTCCTCATCGCTAATCTGCCTCGATTCCCTCACCGCCAACTCCGCCTGCGTCGCCAAGAAGGCCCTTCTCCCGTGGCAAGTGCGGCAGATGCCTTCTCCCTAAGCGATGGCAAAGCAGCGGCTTACCTCGCCGGTTCCCCAACGACCAGCCTCTACTCGGCCCTCGCGCGTTGACCTTCACGGAGCTTCACGCCGCCACCGACGCCGGCAGCACCACAACATCACCAGCACACGTCTATGAGGTTGCCGGCGACGACTTCAAATTTCAACCATTGGGCGCTGACTACTCGGTGAGTTGTGCTAATTTCATTCCCAAGAGAGCCTTCTGAAGTTCTGATTCATTCCCAAGAGAGCTTGCGTCAATATTGATAGCCAATTTGTCTTGGGTATCTAATCTGAACACATAGTAGTTGACATATCAACAATCCAACAAGTCCTAGTTCAGCCTTTCTTTTCTAGGGTTAAACATAAACCCACCTGGTTTATAGCAGTAGCAGTTGTATATTCTTTTTGATTCAGATGCAAAGCTATAGCTGCACTAGATTCAGATATGATAATCTTTACCTAAGAGCCGCCTCTCTTGCATAATCTTGGATTTTCATGATGTCTCGATCTTGGGGATCTCGCACATTTGCAATGCTACGAGGGTTCCAATTTAATACTCCTTTGTCATAGGAGGAGTACTCGCACTACAGTTCCATCATGGTGTTTAGGCATTTATTGTGAATTAAATAGTTGAGTTTACCTCTAGACACTAGATGTTGTGGCTTGTTGCTTGTATGCCATTGTGATGAGTTTCAGTATAAGTATCACAAGTTTGAACTTTGGGCTTCTGAAGTTTCTTTGCAATCTATTACATACTTGCCTTCATCATAGTCATGTGCAATTGTATGCCATTTTACTTGGTTCAGTTAAGGTAATTAGGGCCTTCTTGTAAAACAGGTTGCTATACATAAAGTTTATAAGTTGTCTTAACCTCCACGTTTGACCCATTGTTGTTAAACACATCATATATGGTAGTAGGGCTTGAACTGGTTAGCTAGTTCTGCTCTTAAGTCAGGACAGCTCCTCAATGTACAGAGCTGCCAAGCTCCTTTTCAGTCGGTGGCATTGTCCGTGAGTAAAGAACTTCCTTAATAATTTAGTTGTCATCAGTCATTGAGTTAAGATTGTTCTAATAGCTGAATCTGAATCAACACTCATATTTCTGTATATTTCTTTGCAGCAACCAAGGGCTTCAAGTGCAGCAGGAAGTGGATATTTCACAAATATATTGACACAGGAAGTGGATGATGATTTGGAATTGTTGAGGCAGCAGGATGCCACTCCAAGTACTGGCGGCAAATCCAAGCGAGGCAGCAACTACACTAATCTTGAAGATATCCAACTTTGCAAATCTTGGATTCATATCAGCAATGATCCTATCATAGGGAATCAGCAGCCAGGAAAAACTTATTGGGAGAGGATCGCAAATGATTTCCACAGGAACAGGGACTTTGAGTCCGATAGGACTCCCAATTCACTCGAGCATCGCTTTGGGATCATACTAAAGGAGTGCATGAAATTCCAAGGCTACTACGAGGAGGTCGAGCGTCGTCATCCAAGCGGCATTCCATACCAAGAGCATGTAATTGATCTTGCACTTGGTTCATCCCATATCTTGTCATTGCTATATATCTAATCATGCACTTGATCTTTGCTGCAGCTGCTGGAAGCCCAAGCAAGGTATGCCAGAAAAGCGAACGGCAAAAATTGTCAATTCGAACATTGTTGGCTCACGTTGAGGCACACTCAGAAGTTCGAATCAACGCTTGAAGGCAACAAGAAGCCGGCCAAGTCCAGAGAGCTCAACCTCCCGGTAGGAAGTGAACAAGAGGACGATGAGTCAACCGCCCAAGGCCAAGAAAGCTCCTCAATCCCTTCTGCCAAGAAAGCCCGACCTCCGGGTAGAAAGCAATCCAAAGACAAGCTGAAAAAAAATGAAGGAGATGACGAGTACAAGGATATGATGCAAAATTTGTTGGTAATGAAGACCGAGGAACATATGATGAAGAAAGAAAGGTGGGAGAAGGATATGATGCTTGAGCAACGCAGGCTTCAGATGGAGGAGGAGCGGCTGCAGTGGGAGCAGGAACAAAAAATTATGTTTTGTGATTTGACCACCATGGACGATGATCAAAGGGCATACGTGAAGGCAAAGAGAGCGAAGATTGTGAAGGCGATGAGTGCTAGTGTAGGCGAGACAGCTAGTGGTGAGAGTGGAGTGTAGGTTTGGTGAGAGTGGAGTCACTTATATCTGGTAGTGGTAGTTTTCTTATGCTACTGTTATCATTATCAATGGCACTGCAATCAGTATTGTTCAGTATATGCTATGCTATCAGAGATGCTATATGTGTTATCAGAGATGCTATATGCACTGCAATCAGGTAACTACTTTTTATGTACTTGAAATACTCATATTTGTGATATGTGGACATGTGCTACAGGCTGCCAAGTCAGTTTATAACTACCACTTCTTTAAGAAAATGAGCACGAGCACTGTTGTTTCATCCAGTGAAAGCAACAGACGTTAGATGTCCAGAAGCATAGCCATTTATTAGTTGCTACTTGCTACGGCAATGCGAAATAATGACTTCTCATCTCCACAGAATGCATTAGTCTTCGACACCAATTCCATCTCAGAAATAACAGCTTCTCATCAGTATGGCACTATCCAAGTGATACAGTCGGTATGGCACAAGAACATGGTCAGTATTCATCAGTTTCTGCAATTCATATCAAGAGTGATAGCCAATCTCTCAAGAAACCAAACACAAATTACATGAGTCAAGAAGCTTGAGTACAGATTATATGTTCAGAGATTAGCAGCTGCTTATGTAAACAGTACACTTGCAGTAATAAGTTCCAGAAAAGAAGCACACTTGCAGTAATAAGTTCCAGAAACTACAGACATAATTCTCTCATACAAGTATGAATGGTAACACAATATGAAACTACATATTACATAATTTTCCAGATATTTGAAGGACATTGCCAAATGTCACTCCATATTACATAATTTAGTCTAACTACCTAGAACTATGAATGTCCCGTGGCGCTTTATGGCGACCCCTAAGAACGCCTCGTGAAATCAGACATCGTCGAAAATTGGACAACAGAACACTCCATAATCACACTGTAGATTCATGCCATGGCTCAATTTTAATGCATTATCAGAAATAAATAAACAGACTAGCACAGAGCTGCATTATCAGAAATAAACAAACTGAACAGGAGAAAATGGATAGTGGATATATTCTACAATTCACACTTGTGCAATTCACATAGGTGGATATATTCTACAATTTCAGCTAACTACCTAGAACTATGAATTGCCCACAAGTGCTCTACAAGGTCATCACGAAGTCGCTCATGTGAAGACCTATCCTCAATCTCGTCGTGTATCTTCAGGAAGTCCTCTAGCACAAGAGGATTACGGCGTTGGTAGTCCACAGGTTGCAACACAGGGATACCCTCCTGATGGTAGTTAAAGTCATCTTCCTCATCTCGCTCATCCTCAATTATCATGTTGTGCAAGACTACACAAGCTTGCATTATATACCATAGATCTTCCTTGTCCCACATTCTTGCAGGACCCCGCACAATTGCAAAGCGAGCTTGGAGTACCCCAAACGCTCTTTCCACATCTTTCCTCGCTGCTTCTTGTGCCATTGTGAAGTGGATCTTCTTGTTGCCCTGTGGATGTTGAAAAGCTTTGACAAACGTTGCCCAGGCTGGGTATATCCCATCAGCAAGATAGTACCCCATTGTGTACTTGTTTCCATTGACCATGTATTCCACTTGTGGCGCCGTCCCAGAAGTCAGACTTTGGAAGAGTGGAGAGCGGCGCAAAACGTTGATATCATTTAGAGAACACCGAAGGCCAAGAATGCATGCAGATCCATAGATCTTGTGATGCAACGGCCTCAAGGATCATGGTCGGCCCATCTTCTTTCCTTCGTATGCTCCTCTCCAACCTCTCGGGCACTTGTCCCATTTCCAATGCATGCAATCAACGGAACCAAGCATTCCTGGGAACCCTCTTGCGCTATTAATTGCCAACAGCCTGGCTGTGTCCTGGGCATTGGGGGCCCTCAAGTATTCTTCACCAAGACCTCGACGACAGCCTTCACAAAATGTTTCAGACACTCAATGATGGTGCTCTCTCCCATCCTCACATACTCATCCAAAAAGTCGGCCGAAATACCATAGGCAAGCATCCGAATCAGCGTAACAACCTTCAGATGGGGAGAGGCGCCAAGAGTTCCGACGACATCGGGCTTCGACGGAAATAGTCATCATGAGACTCCACTTTGCATCCACTATCCGTAGAAAGAGCGACACGGACATCCGAAACCTCCTTCGAAATGTTTCTCACTTTGTATACACACCTTCGTCGGCTGAAGTAGTCCGGTAGATGCGACAGTGACCTTGAAATGTTCCGTGGCACTTTGCGGCGACCCGACAACGATCCACGAAACTTTTTCTTGCGCTTGTTTCTCCTCGAGCCCTCAAGAAGACCAAAGAATGATGAAGAGGTCGTCGTCATCGATTCATCCTCTTCATCCCACCCTCGACGAGCTCTAGTTCCAAACCTTGACATCTCGCCATAGCAACAAAAATAAGAATAGAATATCCGAGGTTCACTCCTTGAACTCATATACATACAGGACTATGACGAAAATAAGAATATGAGACTATAGATCTTTGAAAACAAAATTAGGAATTAAACTGTGCATAGTAGAGAAGTACTTCAATTATCACTTATCCTTTAAATAAATCCAAGCACATTTTCAAACAAAAGAAAACAAATCCGAGCAGAAAGGTGTTCTAGCTAGTACCAAAAGCTACTACCATGGTCTTTCCTGAGTAAGGTAAACGGCTGCCTTATGTCTAGTTAACCACTGCTTCACATTTGCAATACACATTTTGTTTGCTTCAAGGAGGAGCAGCAAAATATCTTTATTTCTTCGGATTAGAGAGCTTGAGATAACTTTTCCAACTGCAAGCAAATATTTTGGGCTTTGGAATGCATTCACAGAAAGTAAAGCTCGATCGAATCTATTGCATTTGCAAAGACACCTACTGCACCACCTCTCATCACCATCAGATAAACCGAGAAGCCACAATTTGCAGCCACTCTTATAGAAGTGCAAATGATCGAGCCCTAAAACTCAAAGCGGCGACATCTCTCATCGCATTTTACGCTAATTCTAGTGTTTCTTATGGTATTTTTTTTTGCATTATATCATCAATTGAGATTTCGATTCGGCCAGATGGTGGATCAAGAAACTTTCGCAAAGAAAGGTTGAATCTTTAAGAATCAGTGGAATGCTTAGAAGAAGGTAGCTAGTACCGTGGGAGACGTGAGTGCGTCATGGCCAGGCCGCCCCGAGAGACGCGGAGCGGGAATCGTCTTGAGAGAGGGCGCTCCTTAGCCACCCAGCAGTTCTCGGGAGAAGCGCCTGAAGATGGAGCGGCTCTTCTCCACCGAGGACGCTTGGTGGGGGCAGCAATGGTGAGGCGCGTCATGTGGCCCAGGTGGTTCGGCGGTCGGCGTCGAGGCGGGTTCACAAGGCGAGCAAGCAAAGGCAGCAGGCGGGCGCCGTTCTTTGGCTAACAGCATGGATTTGGAAGCCATGCCGTGTCTGGGGCGTTCTTGGGCTGGAATAGGGTCTTGGGCTGGAGTTGGAAGTAAATTTGGGTCCCTATTTTTTGCAGGCCAGCACGCAAATGAAAAAAATAGGGGCCCAATTTGCATGTTGGGCTGGAGTTGCTCTAAGAGCAACTCCAGCCCACCTCCTAAACATGTCCCTATTCCAAATTTAGGGACTTAATCCAAAAAAATCCACTCCAATGCAGCTCCTACTTGTGCTCCCATTTTAGGAGAGCTGTCAAAATCTAGTTTCAGGCCCCCAGAAAACAGGCCCTCCTATTCCTCCCCCGAATCGTCTTCCCCGCCGCCGCTCGTCTTCCTCGCCGCCGCTCGGGAGCCGCCGTGCTGCTCCTGACGCGAGCCGCGAGCCTCCTCCCCTCCCGGACTCTACCTCGGCACGGCATCGCGAGCGCCCCCGTCCACCCCAGGAGCACCGCGCCGCGTGGAGCCTGTCGCGGGGCTGCAGCCACGCTCGCGCGTCGCGCGGGCATCGCGTGGGCTTGTGGCAGCGCGGGGAGCCGCAAATGGCGGCGCCGGGTTTCTCCGGAGGCGCGCTGCCTCCCCGTCCAGCTGCTGCCACGAAACGTCGTTCCTTCGTCGCTCCTCATCGCCAATCTGCCTCGATTCCCCTCACTGCCAACCTGCCTCGTCGCCAAGAAGGCCCTTCTCCCGGCGGCGGCAGCGGCAGGATGCCTTCTCCCGGCAGTGGCAGCAGCGGCTTACCTCGCCGGTTCCCCAACGACCAGCCTCTACTCGGCCCTCGCGCGTTGACCTTCACGGAGCTTCACGCCGCCACCTGGGACGCCGGCAGCACCACAACATCACCAGCACACGTCTATGAGGTTGCCGGCGACGACTTCAGCCCCAACCATTGGACGCCTGACTACTCGGTGAGTTGTGCTAATTTCATTCCCAAGAGAGCCTTCTGAAGTTCTGATTCATTCCCAAGAGAGCTTGCGTCAATATTGATAGCCAATTTGTCTTGGGTATCTAATCTGAACACATAGTAGTTGACATATCAACAATCCAACAAGTCCTAGTTCAGCCTTTCTTTTCTAGGGTTAAACATAAACCCACCTGGTTTATAGCAGTAGCAGTTGTATATTCTTTTTGATTCAGATGCAAAGCTATAGCTGCACTAGATTCAGATATGATAATCTTTACCTAAGAGCTGCCTCTACTGCATAATCTTGGATTTTCATGATGTCTGATCTTGGGGATCTGCACATTTGCAATGCTACAGAGGGTTCCAATTTAATACTCCACTGTCATAGGAGGAGTACTCTGGCACTACAGTTCCATCATGGTGTTTAGGCATTTATTGTGAATTAAATAGTTGAGTTTACCTCTAGACACTAGATGTTGTGGCTTGTTGCTTGTATGCCATTGTGATGAGTTTCAGTATAAGTATCACAAGTTTGAACTTTGGGCTTCTGAAGTTTCTTTGCAATCTATTACATACTTGCCTTCATCATAGTCATGTGCAATTGTATGCCATTTTACTTGGTTCAGTTAAGGTAATTAGGGCCTTCTTGTAAAACAGGTTGCTATACATAAAGTTTATAAGTTGTCTTAACCGCCACGTTTGACCCATTGTTGTTAAACACATCATATATGGTAGTAGGGCTTGAACTGGTTAGCTAGTTCTGCTCTTAAGTCAGGACAGCTCCTCAATGTACAGAGCTGCCAAGCTCCTTTTCAGTCGGTGGCATTGTCCGTGAGTAAAGAACTTCCTTAATAATTTAGTTGTCATCAGTCATTGAGTTAAGATTGTTCTAATAGCTGAATCTGAATCAACACTCATATTTCTGTATATTTCTTTGCAGCAACCAAGGGCTTCAAGTGCAGCAGGAAGTGGATATTTCACAAATATATTGACACAGGAAGTGGATGATGATTTGGAATTGTTGAGGCAGCAGGATGCCACTCCAAGTACTGGCGGCAAATCCAAGCGAGGCAGCAACTACACTAATCTTGAAGATATCCAACTTTGCAAATCTTGGATTCATATCAGCAATGATCCTATCATAGGGAATCAGCAGCCAGGAAAAACTTATTGGGAGAGGATCGCAAATGATTTCCACAGGAACAGGGACTTTGAGTCCGATAGGACTCCCAATTCACTCGAGCATCGCTTTGGGATCATACTAAAGGAGTGCATGAAATTCCAAGGCTACTACGAGGAGGTCGAGCGTCGTCATCCAAGCGGCATTCCATACCAAGAGCATGTAATTGATCTTGCACTTGGTTCATCCCATATCTTGTCATTGCTATATATCTAATCATGCACTTGATCTTTCTTTGCATTTGCTGGAAGCCCAAGCAAGGTATGCCGTAAAAGCGAACGGCAAAATTGTCAATTCGAACATTGTTGGCTCACGTTGAGGCACACTCGGAGTTCGAATCAACGCTTGAAAAGGCAACAAGAAGCCGGCCAAGTCCAGAGAGCTCAACCTCCCGGTAGGGGAAGTGAACAAGAGGACGATGAGTCAACCGCCCAAGGCCAAGAAAGCTCCTCAATCCCTTCTGCCAAGAAAGCCCGACCTCCGGGTAGAAAGCAATCCAAAGACAAGCTGAAAAAAAATGAAGGAGATGACGAGTACAAGGATATGATGCAAAATTTGTTGGTAATGAAGACCGAGGAACATATGATGAAGAAAGAAAGGTGGGAGAAGGATATGATGCTTGAGCAACGCAGGCTTCAGATGGAGGAGGAGCGGCTGCAGTGGGAGCAGGAACAAAAAATTATGTTTTGTGATTTGACCACCATGGACGATGATCAAAGGGCATACGTGAAGGCAAAGAGAGCGAAGATTGTGAAGGCGATGAGTGCTAGTGTAGGCGAGACAGCTAGTGGTGAGAGTGGAGTGTAGGTTTGGTGAGAGTGGAGTCACTTATATCTGGTAGTGGTAGTTTTCTTATGCTACTGTTATCATTATCAATGGCACTGCAATCAGTATTGTTCAGTATATGCTATGCTATCAGAGATGCTATATGTGTTATCAGAGATGCTATATGCACTGCAATCAGGTAACTACTTTTTATGTACTTGAAATACTCATATTTGTGATATGTGGACATGTGCTACAGGCTGCCAAGTCAGTTTATAACTACCACTTCTTTAAGAAAATGAGCACGAGCACTGTTGTTTCATCCAGTGAAAGCAACAGACGTTAGATGTCCAGAAGCATAGCCATTTATTAGTTGCTACTTGCTACGGCAACAGAAATAACAGCTTCTCATCTCCACAGAATGCATTAGTCTTCGACACCAATTCCATCTCAGAAATAACAGCTTCTCATCAGTATGGCACTATCCAAGTGATACAGTCAGTATGGCACAAGAACATGGTCAGTATTCATCAGTTTCTGCAATTCATATCAAGAGTGATAGCCAATCTCTCAAGAAACCAAACACAAATTACATGAGTCAAGAAGCTTGAGTACAGATTATATGTTCAGAGATTAGCAGCTGCTTATGTAAACAGTACACTTGCAGTAATAAGTTCCAGAAAAGAAGCACACTTGCAGTAATAAGTTCCAGAAACTACAGACATAATTCTCTCATACAAGTATGAATGGTAACACAATATGAAACTACATATTACATAATTTTCCAGATATTTGAAGGACATTGCCAAATGTCACTCCATATTACATAATTTAGTCTAACTACCTAGAACTATGAATGTCCCGTGGCGCTTTGCGGCGACCCGGCAACGCCCCGTGAAACTGTATTATCAGAAAGCTGGACAACAGAACACTCCATAATCACACTGTAGATTCATGCCATGGCTCAATTTTAATGCATTATCAGAAATAAATAAACAGACTAGCACAGAGCTGCATTATCAGAAATAAACAAACTGAACAGGAGAAAATGGATAGTGGATATATTCTACAATTCACACTTGTGCAATTCACATAGGTGGATATATTCTACAATTTCAGCTAACTACCTAGAACTATGAATTGCCCACAAGTGCTCTACAAGGTCATCACGAAGTCGCTCATGTGAAGACCTATCCTCAATCTCGTCGTGTATCTTCAGGAAGTCCTCTAGCACAAGAGGATTACGGCGTTGGTAGTCCACAGGTTGCAACACAGGGATACCCTCCTGATGGTAGTTAAAGTCATCTTCCTCATCTCGCTCATCCTCAATTATCATGTTGTGCAAGACTACACAAGCTTGCATTATATACCATAGATCTTCCTTGTCCCACATTCTTGCAGGACCCCGCACAATTGCAAAGCGAGCTTGGAGTACCCCAAACGCTCTTTCCACATCTTTCCTCGCTGCTTCTTGTGCCATTGTGAAGTGGATCTTCTTGTTGCCCTGTGGATGTTGAAAAGCTTTGACAAACGTTGCCCAGGCTGGGTATATCCCATCAGCAAGATAGTACCCCATTGTGTACTTGTTTCCATTGACCATGTATTCCACTTGTGGCGCCGTCCCGTAAGTCGACTTTGGAAGAGTGGAGAGCGGCGCAAAAACGTTGATATCATTTAGAGAACTCGGAAGGTCAAGAATGCATGCCAGATCCATAGATCTTGTGATGCAACGGCCTCAAGGATCATGGTCGGCCCATCTTCTTTCCCTTCGTATGCTCCTCTCCAACCTACTGGGCACTTGTCCCATTTCCAATGCATGCAATCAACGGAACCAAGCATTCCTGGGAACCCTCTTGCGCTATTAATTGCCAACAGCCTGGCTGTGTCCTGGGCATTGGGGGCCCTCAAGTATTCTTCACCGAAGACCTCGACGACAGCCTTCACAAAATGTTTCAGACACTCAATGATGGTGCTCTCTCCCATCCTCACATACTCATCCAAAAAGTCGGCCGAAATACCATAGGCAAGCATCCGAACGCAAGCACAACAACCTTACAGTATGGGAGAGGCGCCAAGAGTTCAAAAACATCGGACTTCCGGCGGAAATAGTCATCATGAGACTCCACCGCATCCACTATCCGTAGAAAAGAGCGACTGGACATCCAAACCTCCTTACGAAATGTTTCTCACTTTGTATACACACCGGTCGGCGAAGTAGTCCGTAGATGCGATTGTGACCTTCAGAAATGTTCCGTGGCACTTTGCGGCGACCCGGCAACGATCCACGAAACTTTTTCTTGCGCTTGTTTCTCCTCGAGCCCTCAAGAAGACCAGCAATGATGAAGAGGTCGTCGTCATCAGATTCATCCTCTTCATCCCACCCTCGACGAGCTCTAGTTCCAAACCTTGACATCTGCCATAGCAACAAAAATAAGAATAGAATATCTGAGGTTCACTCCTTGAACTCATATACATACAGGACTATGACGAAAATAAGAATATGAGACTATAGATGCTGAAAACAAAATTAGGAATTAAACTGTGCATAGTAGAGAAGTACTTCAATTATCACTTATCCTTTAAATAAATCCAAGCACATTTTCAAACAAAAGAAAACAAATCCGAGCAGAAAGGTGTTCTAGCTAGTACCAAAAGCTACTACCATGGTCTTTCCTGAGTAAGGTAAACGGCTGCCTTATGTCTAGTTAACCACTGCTTCACATTTGCAATACACATTTTGTTTGCTTCAAGGAGGAGCAAAAAAAATATCTTTGTTTCTTGGATTAGAGCTTCAGATAACTTTTCCAACTGGCAAGCAAATATTTTGGGCTTTGGAATGCATTCCTGTAAAGTAAAGCTCGATCGAATCACTGGCTGCAAAGTGACTTCCTGTGCACCTCTCACATGCCATCAGATAAACCGAGAAGCCACAAATTGCACCCACTCTTATAGAAGTGCAAATTGATCGAAGCCTAAAACTCAAAGCAGCAGCAGCATCTGACTGCATTTTCTGCTAATTCTAGTGTTTCTTATGGTATTTTTTTTGCAGATTATATCATCAATTGAGATTTCAGTCAGCAGATGGTGGATCAAGAAACTTTCGCAAAGAAAGGTTGAATCTTTAAGAATCTGTGGAATGCTTAGAAGAAGGTAGCTAGTACCAGGGGAGACGCAGGTGCGTCGCGGCGGGCCGGCCCAGGAGACGCGGAGCAGGAATCGTGCGAGAGGGGGCTGCTCCTTGGCCACCCAGCCGAGCTCGGGAAGAAGCGCCTGAACATGGAGCTCTTCTCCTCCACCGAGGAGCCGCTGGTGACTGGCAGCCTGTGAGCGTCGTGCATGGCGAGGTGGTTCAGCGATCGGCGTCGAGGCGGGTTCATGGGCGAGGAGCGAGCGGCGCAGGCGCGGCGCCGTTGCTGGCTCTTGGCGTGGGCAGGCCGGGCCGCGCGATGTGTGCGGGCGTTCTTGGGCTGGAATAGGGTCTTGGGCTGGAGTTGGAAGTAAATTTGGGTCCCTATTTTTTGCAGGCCAGCACGCAAATGAAAAAAATAGGGGCCCAATTTGCATGTTGGGCTGGAGTTGCTCTAAGCGAAGTGAAAAGTCGGGGCGCGTTTGGTTCGCCCGCATGCCCTCCGGCCAGGCCCGTCGCATGCACCGCCTGCCTGCCTCGTGGCAGTAGTACTAGTAGTCTACGGAGTAGTACCCTTTACACTGCCGGAACGTACGAACGGGCCATACGCGCGGCGTACGCTGGTGGCAACCGGGGTGAGGTGGGGGACCGGGCGCGGGCGGTGCCAGTGTGTCATGGCACGCGAGCGAGCACACAGTAGTGTAGTACTCGTAGGTGGTGTAGGGAGCCCTGCGGCTGCCACCTCTGCAACCGCAAGCGTCTCCATCGACCGACGGCCGGAATTGAGGTACGGCACCGCGCCTCATCCGGTCCGGTGTCCGGGATGCCACGCCCACGTCATCGGGGTCGGGCCGGGCGCCCCTTTCCATGCGCGGCGGATCGGCCTGGCCGGCGGGCGCGCAGCACAGGGCCACGGACCGCGGTGTCGCGACGCGCACCGCGCGCATTATTGGCGGCCGGCCGGATGATGTGGCGGTGCACGGCCGGGCCACCAGCCTGCTGCGGGTGCGTAGTAGTACGTGCGTCGCAGCTAAGCCGCTTGGAGAGAATCTCCAACGTCCTGCGCCTGCTGCCCGGTCGCCGGCCGGACTGCTGGTGCTGGCCCGATCCATCTCGTCGGGTCGACGTCGTCGCCAATGCTTGCAAGGCAAAAGCTGCACCTGGTGTCGGGCTCTCGTACGTGCAGATGCAGATGCTGGCCGTATCAATCGCAGTATGTTACGTGCATTGCTCGCATCACCACATGATAACCACCACGCCATGCTCCGACGGGGACATGCATGCATGCACGTACGAGGCGCGGTCCACATGACACCATCCTTGCACTGCCCGGCAGCTCTGCTTCGACGCAGGGAGGCACCGCGCGCTGGGTTTTGACGTTTATTTTGTACCGCTCTGCACTGCATCTGCATGCCGACCCTTGGATTTGGATACACACCGAGCGAGCTGGGCCTTTCTCTGCACATGCACATCACAGATATTTTGCACCCCCTGTTCCTGCTTGGCGGATCAGAAACCCAGAGGCCAGGAAATGGCGTGTAATTAAGCAGGTTTAATTGGAGATTGATGGCCGGTTAAAGCTGCTCAAGTACGCATCGGACGTGCCGCGCTGCCGGTGAGGCCAAGCGGGCATTAAAATTGTGCCGCCCGACCGGTCTCTGTGTCTTGCAAACGCCTCAGCGTCCGGACAGAGATTTGGCCACAGATTCCGTACGTGCCGATATGGTACTGGTACCCAAGTCCACTGGTCTCCGTTCGATCGCGTGGCACCAAAAACACACTGACGTCCAGTCGTCACGAGCCGCCCGGACGACCGCCCGGACGACCCGACCGCACGGCGCCATTGCGCGCACGCTGCATGACAGAGCGGAGAAAGATTGGGTAACTGTTGAGGATTGGTCTACCGCATCGATTGTGAGATCCATTTTTCAGTCCTTGATCCAAAGAATAAGGCATGTAGGAGTTGTAAATAAATCTCGTCTCTCTTGCTCAATCCTTAAAAACATCACACGAGAACACAAAGAGAGAAGTATATGGGGGAGGCTATCACTTCAATCGTCATTTATACATATAGTCCTTTTATATATGCAAAGTTTCTAAGGCATATTTGGTAGCCTCTCTCTCTCTCTCTCTCTCTCTCTCTCTCTCTCTATATATATATATATATATATATATATATATATATATATATATATATATATATATATATATATATATATATATATTGTACTCTCTCCGTCCACAAGAGAATATAATTCTTATTTTTTTATGAGTCAAACAATTTATACTTTGATTAAAATTATATAAAAAGTATTAATATTATGATATAAAATAAACAACATTAGATTAGTTATGAAATGCATTTTCAAATTTAAACTAGTTTCGATTGGCGCTGACCCTATAGTTGTATTTTTTTGGACGGAGGGGGTATGATTTCATCAATCCTCTAACTGATAAATTCTTAACACTCCCACACTCCCCCTTAGACGAATACTGTGACAAATGTGTGCCTCGTTAGAACTCGAAAAAACCAATAATAAAAAATATGGAGAAAAGGTATATTATTGCCACTTAATGCACTTGCACATTGTTGCCTCATTGCAACTTTACATGAGAAACTTTACGAAAACTTGTTAAGGAAAAGGAGTATAATTTCTTCAAGACATATCATGACTTTTGGGATCATATCATTTGAATTGTCTAGAATAATGGTCATGGGCTAATGTTCTAGGGAAGTTCTCCCCTGAACTCTGCAGAACTGTCCCTCTGTGCCAAAGAATTCTTTCTACATTAAACATGTGTACAAAGAGCCTTCAAGGAAACAAAACTACTACACAACAATAGGCAAGGACCATTTCATAACCTTATCTTACTTCTAAAACCCACGAAGTAAAATACGGAAGAACCGTACATAAACAATAAAACTTTCATTAATGATGTCATGATAGAGCCTTCAATGTAGACTTAGGAACTCACCATTAGAATAACACCTATGGGAGTTGGTTTCGTGGTTTTAAGATGGTTTTAGAACTTTTAGTTCTGCTAGGGCAGCGACCACTTGTTGTTGCTTCGGATATGCATAAATGATTTGTTCTTTGAAAAAAAATGCTTATCTCCTTTGTAGGTGGTACTTTCAGTTATCCATTGGCTCCGCACATGGGTTATGATCCAGGATCTTACTTTTCACATGCTTTGGTTGCAGCCGCATCGCAACAATTGGTACAAATAGTCATGGTGTTTTCTCCCAAGCACTTATCAAGTCTTAGGATTGATTAGTCATCAGAGTGCCAGGTTCTTCTTTTGTTTTAGACTGTGTATTTTTTACGCAGAGGCTGGAAATATTATAAATTTCTACATCAACTCGATGTAATATTTGTGAATTAATTAAAAAAACTACGAAAATTTGTTGGGGGTACCCTCTGGCCCTCCCCACCTGGCCATTGTTGAGGCCATTGAAAATTCTAGCGGCGCGCATATTGAGAGCTTCACCATCAAAGTGATTGTCTGATCACGCATCGGATGAAGAAGCCCAGTATGACAAGTTGCATAGGAAACATGCATATGCATGGTTACTGTCGGATAAATATAATTATGTTTGATCATTTCTGTTTTAGTATATTATGTTTGATCAATTCTAGATAAAAAACTATAAATATTTATAATATCAGATAAATATTATTAGATTAGTTATGAAATATATTTTTATAATAAATTAACTTAGAGTCATAAATATGAATATCATTCACTAAAAAATTGGTTAAACATGAATAACTTTAGCCGGCACACAATCCATAACTGCATGTGTCGGTGTTTCGGACCGGGGGTCCTCAACCGACTAGTGAATTTGTTCTGCGTGCTCCCGATTCCGGATGGTGATGCAAAGAGACACAAGGTTTATACTGGTTCGGGCAATCGAGGCCCTACGTCCAGTCTGAGAGATCGATCTTGTATTCCTTGCACCGAGGTGCTCGTAGTAGGGGTTATAAGCTAAAGGAGAGAGGGAGCTGGTCCCAGGTCTCGACAGGGTGTCGTGCGGGCCGCTTGAGACGTTGCTCTCAGGCGGCAGGGATGTGTGTGTATGTGTGTGTGTTACCAAGTTTTTTTTCGGCCCCCCCTAAGTGGCCCAAGTCCTCTCCTTTTATAGTTGAAGGGAGGACAAGGACCGTACATGTATTACTATGCGGCGTCGTGCCAATAGGGGTGGCACGTCCGAGCCCTGTGGCCTGTCCCTGTGGTGGCGTGGTCGCCGGAGTGGTCCATCCTTGGAGTATCAGGCGGCGTGGTCGTCCCCATCGAGATCTGTCAAGCGTCGTGGGAGCCACAGGAATGCCTCGGAGTGGACGCGGCGGTGAACGTGCAAGCCAGCCACGTGGATGATCGCGCGCGAGGCCGAGACTTGGTCGGTCTGAGGCCGGCATCTGCGGTGGGGGGTCTCAGTGAGGCACGAACCCCAAGATCGCCGAGGCCCCGGTGTGTGCGATCTTAGGGGCCTTGAGCGGGCGGCGGCCGATCATGGGTACAGCGTTTGGACACAAAGTGGTCGGTAATCCCGTCGTGCCCTATCCCCGCCGGTATGGCGCCGATCGTGGACACAGTGGTAGGACACGAGTGGCGGTAATCCCGTCGTGCTCTGTCCCGGCCGGTATGGAGCACGATGCGACCTCGAATGTCGCGTTAGCCCATCCTGTGGCGTTGAGCCACCGTCCGGCCGAGATTATGGGAGTGGTTGAAGCATTAATGAGACATGACGAGTTGTCGGGAGGGTCGGCCGAGGCGGGGGCGACGGATCATGGACGAGCCGGCCTCGAGCGACACGGAGAATGAGGCCTCATGAGAGCGGAGATCGGTTTCCTTGCCGAGGCCTTGCGCGAGACGCCTCGCGCGATACGGAGAATGTACCCCTACCGAGGCCTTCCCTGGAGAGCCTCGGGCGAGACGGAGACGGCGCCCCTTGCCGAGGCTCGGCGCCCCCTGCCGAGGCCTACCCTGGGGAGCCTCGCGCGAGGCGGAGTTTGTTCCGAGACCTCCTGCTCGAGGCTCGAGGCGAGGTGGAGGAGGGCTCGGTCGTGGCAGGTGAGGGCCCCATGGCTTACCTTCTAGCTTTATTTTGATGTTTGCTTGGGGTACCCGTTCTAAGGTACCCGACAAGAGGCCCCCGAGCCTCGGGTGAGTGCGTGCACTCTCCCCGAGGGTTCATCGAGGTCGGGTTTATGCCTACTCAGAGGAATTGGTTTGTTTTTCGAGGTTCCGGTGGGTGCGCTGCGCCTCCGCCGGGTAGCTTTGCAGCCCCTGGAGGAGTGAAGTTACTCCTCCGTGGGCTTTCTCATTTTCGCGTTTGATTGATCGGTTCTTATTGCATTTGCCGAGCCAATAAGCGCAAGTTCTGCTTCGGGGGTCTCGGCGAGGTTGCAAAAAGGCCCTCTAGCCTCCGCATGGAGCGAGAGGTTCGTCGAGGTCCCCCGACGTTGGGTATGTCCCTCACGCTTCCTTTCGCTCGGAAGGAGGGGTGGAATGTGCCATGCTACCCTCGATGGGGCGCGAGCGTGACACTTTCGGTGAGTCACATCGGGTAGTCCGAGTGGAGGCCCGAGCCTGCTCGCTAGGGGACGGCTAGCGGTCCGTAGACGCACTCCAAAAGTACCGGAGGATTTCTCTAGTGGGTGCCGAGGCCGTTCATTGGCCCTCGGTGGCTCGGTGCCTCCCTACGGTGGGATCCCATTCGGATACTTTCTGTCGGTCTCTGGACACGACTTAGGACGCCTTGAGCGATCGTTCGTTCGGGCTCGGGCCATTCGTGGGCTCGCCCAAGTCGCCCCCCGACTCATGTTGCCCTAGGGCGGTTGTCGAAAAACCTCTTGGAGGCCCAACCTTGAACCCCGGGACTGTGAACGGGCTCGGTGCCCTTTATCGTGTTTTTGTCTTGGTTTTGGGTGCAAGAGGAGCCCCA